TGCAGGGCAAGCAAATATATTTAAATCAGAATAATTAGCAGGAGTACCTGACCATATTTCCTCTGGAGTCTTAAAGTTTCAGGGTACAGAAGGAGCACGATTGACAATATAACAAGCTGTAGAGATGGCTTCTGCCCAAAAGTCGTTTGTCAACCCACCATTTGAAATCATGCGGCTAGCCTTTCCAAAAGAGTTCTATTCATCCTTTCTTCCACACCATTTTGTTGAGGTTTCACTCACAATACGGTGTCGAACAATTCCTTCATTCTTGCAAAATTTGTTGAATTCATCATCACAAAATTCCAAGTCATTATCTGTTCTAAGCCGCTTAACCCGTTTTCCTGTTTGCTTCTTAATCAAAACTTTCCATTGTTGAAAATTTAAGAAAAAATCACTTTTATTTTTCAGGAAATAAACCCAAACTTTCCTTGAATAATCATCGATGAAAGTTAACATATACATGACACTACCTTTTGATAGGGTACGTGAAGAACCTCAAAGATCTGAATGAATGTAATCCAAAGTACCTTTGGTTCTATGAATTGCTGGAGATTTGAAGCTGATTCTTTTTCTGCTTCCCAAACACACAATGTTCACAGAACTACATATTTACGGTAGTTTGGCCACATAAGAAACCTCTTTTGTTGAGGATGAAAATACTTTTTTTCACTCATATGCCCCAATCTCATATGCAATAATTTGTTGATGTCAGAATCGGATTTATCTGATGTCGGATTTTTCTTTTCTGTATGCTTTTCTTTGTTTTTTTAATTTAGAGCATTCAGAAATAATGTAACCTTTCTTATGACATTGTTTGCACATGACATTTTTGTATCGGGATTTTGACCTTGATTTAGCTCTCTCACTACTTGAATCTTTCTTATTGGATCTACCTCTTATGGACAAGCCTTCCCCTTGGTTCCCACTAGTTTTCCCAGTAATATCTCTATCTATTTGTTCTTTTGATATCAAAATATATTTGATATTTTTATAAGAGATATTAACCTTTCCATAAAGCATAGTATCTCTTATATATTTAAGCGACTGGGGTAAGGAAATAAGTAATAACACATCTTGATCCTCACCTTTGATTTTAGCATCTATGTTTACTTATATCCATAAGAAGAGAATCAAAAGTATCAAGAAGTATAAGTATAGAGGTACCTTCAGCCATACGAAAAGTGTAGAGTTTTGCTTTAAGTAAAGCCTGCTTTCTATTATTTTTTCATATATAGGGTTTCAGCTTTTCCCATATGCCTTTGGCTGAGCTTTCTGTAGCAACTTCACGCAAAACCTCATTTGAGAGATTTAAAATAATACATGCTTTTGCCTTTTTGTCAATGACGGCAAACTCCTCGTCCGCCATTTTATTCGGCTTCTTCTCCTTTCCTTGCAGTGCCAAATCTAAGCCATCCTGAATTAGTATATCTTCCTTCTTTAATTGCCACATTCCAAAATTTGCACATCGATCAAATTTCTCAATATAAGTCTTTGTTAAAGTCATATTGACTACTGAAACAAACCCGATTAGATCCGACTCTGATACCAATTTATTAGGACCGGGAACCCGGATAGTGCGAAATTTAGCGAAACAATGTTATAATGACAATAACAAAGACAATGCAAGTTGATAACAATGACAATTAAAGCATATAAAGAAGACACATTTAACTTGGTTCGGTAAAAGTGACCTACGTCCACAAGCAGAGAGGAGCAAATTCACTATACCAATAAGAGTAAAAAATTAGAGTGAATGCTATAATTAATCCCAAATACCCCCGAAAAAATAAACCTTACAAGATAACTCCAAAGAAAGGGGATCACACGCTAAACCCAACCGAAGCGACCGTGCGCGCCTAGAGAGAGAAGCTCTGGCGATTCTGGGCGATTTGGAGGCGACTAGAGAGAGAAAGCTCGTCCATGGCCGCGCCGGCCACTGCCCAGCCTTCAATGGAGGTTGGGCAGTCGTCTTTCAATCCTAAACCACTCCCCCAAATAGCTTCTAACCCTAATCCAATCCAAAACTACGCAAAACTGCTCCAGCCACAAGCATTTAATGCTCCCATGCACGTAAATAGCATAAACCTAAAACCAGTCGAGCTTTTACATGGAGAACCAATGGTGAGATGGAAGAAATCAGAGGTTAAAAAATCAATCATACAACAAGGATTTCATCTAGCAGTCCTGGGCAAATTCTCATATGGAAAACCTGTGATCCAAGAGTTGAGGAAGGCAATTCCAATTCAATGTGAGCTTAAGGGATCATGTTTAGTTGGATTGATTGAAGATTCACATGTTTTGATTAAGTTATCATTTATGGAAGATTATATTCACTTATTATCTAAGCCAGCATTTTATTTGAAAGCTCAAGGTGAATTCTGGCAGATGAGATGCACAAAGTGGAGTCCATGGTGGTCTCCTGATGTTGAGACACCAATTGCAATCGCTTGGATATCTTTTCAGGACCTTCCTCCTAATTTTTTTGGTAAGGATTTTGTATTTTCTTTAGCTAATGCAGTAGGTAGGCCATTGCATGTTGATTTGGCTACTCAAAATGGCACAAGGCCTAGCTGTGCTAAAGTTAAGGTGGAAGTAAACCTACTTGCAACACTGCCTCAAAGAATTAAAATTATAGAGGAAGCTGATAAAACTGGGCCTGAGGAGTCTAAATGGATCAAAATAAGGTATGATTACATGACTAAGTATTGCAAGACATGTAAGAAGCAAGGTCACAATGAAGAGGAATGCCGGGTAATTCATCCAGAATTGCACAATAATGTTAGAGGGGATGACAAGGTTCAAGGTAAGGAGAGGGCAGTATTGGTGAGTAGTGATGCGACTGGGACAGCTGCAAATTCAACCAAGGTGATATCAAGTGGAAAAGTGGTTGGGAAGTCTACTAATAACAATGCTAAGTAGGAGTGGATGCAAGCTAGAAAGAATAAGTATCAAAGAGATAGGAGAGGCTACATTATTGAGGAGACAAACGAGAAGGAAGATAGCAAGGGCAACGGAAAGGCTAAGGAGGAGGCAGTGATGTCTAAAAACAAATTTGAAACTTTGGAAGTTGAAGAAGATGTTCAACCAATCTTGATAATTACGGATGGAAATGTAGATGGCAAGGACAAGAATAAAAGGAAGGAGCAAGTATTTAAAGGAACTAGCAAGGTACAACAACAAGAACATAAGGAGAAAGGTAGGGATCAATCTCCTAATCCTACTTCTAATGGGATTAAGGGTGGTGATTCAAGGAAGCTGCTGGACAAGGAAGGTGGAATTACTACTCTAAATAAGGAAGAATGCGAGAAGAGTAAAGAAGGAAGCTGTGGACAAAGTAAATAAGGAAAGGCAGGAAAGTCTTCAAAAGGAAAATTTGAATCCTACTTCTCTAGGGATTCAGTCTTCACATATGGGAGCCCAAGCTGTTGCTCCATCGACTGCTCCTAGTTCTATTGATACTAGGGTTGATGATGAAACTAAAAAAGAGTCTACTATTGATTGGGTGCATAGAAGGTTTGGGACAAATAAGGAGGAGCTAAGACAATGTAATGTGACTACCAATCATTCATGCCAAGAAATTCCTTCCCAAACGTATGAGGATGCTGGGCAACTGGAGGATGGTAATGAAGTTAATTCAAAGAAGGCTTTATGGAGTGATGAAGTAGAGGTAATGGAAGCTGAATTGAGTTCAAAATACACAACAGCAGGCAAAGAAAATAGGGACATTATGCAGCTCCAAAAAACTGGCAAACATGGAGAAGCTACAGTAAACCCTAGCAGTTCAAAAACTAGGGTTGACTATATTTCGAGTTCTATGGAGCACAAATCAGGAAAATAAATTGGAGGTGATAAAGGAACATCAAAGGAAACAGGAAACCAATATGGATCAGCTCAAGCATCATTGAGCAAAAAGAAGGGCAATGGAACATTAAACCCTAGCAAAACTGGGGAGATTTTGGCATTTATTGATGGGGTTCCTGTGTATGCATTGGATAAGGGACTTGATGAGGGTGTTCCTATAGAGGTTAGGAAGGAACCAGTGGGCCAAGATCAACAAACAGTCCATGGGAAGGAGGTTGATCCCAATGGAACAGTAACTTCTAGCTATCTTGCTACAGTAAATCCTAATCTAGGATCTGTGTATGAGCTACAATTCAGATTGATGCAGGAGAATTTGGGGAATATGGAAAAGAGTTCAGAGATACATGAAGCATCTTTGGCACCTTACGAACCAGTTGAACAAGCAATTGTTACAAGGGAACTTGGGGAACTTGAATCAATGCCTGTGGCATGCGCATCAGGAACTGGATCACTAATGCAGATTCAAGTTAATGTGCCATTGAAGATGCCAAATCAGGTACTACATGACATTATTACTCATAAGGAGCTTCCAGATGATATACAAAACACTTTGATTGATCAATAAATACAATTGGAGGGGGAAGAAGATGATGAATCTACAACTGAAAATTTTAGAGCTGTTGCAAGGGAGGGGTATTTATCTCCTAAATCAGTAGCTAGAAGTGGAAATAAAGGGAAGAAAACACAACCTAAAGAGACACAACCACCTACTAGAATTTTGCCCAGGAGGGGAACTTCTACATCAACCAGATGATGATCAAAACTCTTATATGGAATATAAGGTCTGTTAAAACTCAACAGGCCTTTCAGAGGGTTATTAATATGCAAAAGGAACATGGCTTCTTCATTGTAGCACTCATGGAGCCATTTAAAAAGAAGAGGTTCATTCAAAATTATAGAAGGAGACTAGGTATGGAAGCTGCAATTTCTAATGTGAATAGAAAGATTTGGTTATTTTTTGATGCTGTGGTGGAATGGGATCTGTTGATTGACACTGAGCAAAAAATGACAATCAGAGTGTACCATCAAGATCTTGGTAAGTACATTATGATGACTTTTGTATATGCTAAGTTTTGTGCTTTGGAGAGATTGGAACTGTGGGATAATCTTTATTATTTGGCTAGTGACATGGAGTTGCCATGGCTAGTCGGGGTGATTTTAATGTTGTGCTTGGAGAGGATGAGAAGATAGGTGGACTTCCAGTGTATCGCCCAGAGTATGAAGACTTTGCATTCTGTGTCAACTCTTGTGGCTTGTTTGATCTTGGGTACAAGGGTAGTCCTTTCACATGGTGTAATGGGAGGCCAAATGAGGAGTGCATTTTCAAAGGACTTGACAGAATTCTTGTAAACTTGCCTTTTCAAACACTGTTTCCTACAATAGAGGTGGAGCACCTTATTAGAACAGGATCTGATCATGCACCACTATTGATGAGCTGTGGACAGGAAGCTATGAAGTTTGTTAAACCATTCAAGTTCTTGAACTTTTGGGCAAAGCATGAAACCTTTCTAGATGTGGTGAGGCAGAATTGGATGGTTGACTTTATAGGAGATCCTTTCTTGATGTTTAAGCAGAAATAGAAGAGGATTAAGATTGCTCTTTCAAAATGGAGTAAATTAACCTATGGGGATATTTTCAAGCAGCTGGCTATCAGGGAGGATGTGGTGAGGATTAAAGAGATGCTATTTGAGGAGGATCCTACAATAGAAAATAGAATTGTACTTCAACAAGCTCAAGCTGAGCTAAAGAAGTACTTGAGCATTGAGGAACAATACTGGAATCAAAAGGCAGGTATGACTTGGTTTGAGGAAGGAGATAGGAATGCAAGGTTCTTCCATAATTGTGTCAATAGGAAGAGGCAAAAGCTAAAATTGAAAAGGATCAAGAATAGTGATGGTTCATGGATTGAAACTCAAGACAAATTATCTGAGGCTGTAGTGGAGTTTTTCCAGAAGCAATTCACTAAGGAGGGGATCTTGGAAGCTTTGAGTTATTGAATAATGTACCTACAATGGTGACAAGGGAGCAGAATTTGGAATTATGTAGATTGCCTACTATGGATGAGGTAAAGGCTGCTGTTTTTGCATTGAGTAGTGAAAGTGCAAGTGGTCCAGATGGTTTTTCTGGCCTGTTCTTCCAAGCATGCTGGGATATTGTGGGGGAAGATATTCATACATTGTTAATTGTGTTCTTTGAGGGCAGTCCATTGCCTAAGTCTATAACACATACTAACCTTGTTTTATTGCCTAAAAAGCCTCAAGTTCAAACATTCTCTGACCGTAGACCTAGCATCTTGAGTAATTTTATTAACAAGGTGTTCTCAAGGGTGGTTCAAGATAGACTTGAAAAGATACTGCCTTCCTTGATATCATTAAACTAATCTGCTTTTCAAGGGAAGGAGTATCTTTGAGAATATTTTGTTGACTCAAGAGATTGTTACTGATATAAGACTAAGAGGTAAGCCTACTAATGTGGTGATCAAATTAGAAATGGTCAAGGCATATGATAGGGTGTCTTGGAAATATTTGATGCATGTTTTGAGGAAGATGGGGTTTGCAGAATGTTTTATCAACATGGTTTGGAATCTCATTGCTAACAATTGGTATTCAGTAATGGTTAATGGACAAGCTTCTGGCTTTTTTCATTCAACAAGGGGTGTGAAGCAAGGTGACCCTCTCTCACCAGCTTTATTTATTCTTTCAGCAGAAGTTTGTCAAGATCATTGAATAAGTTGTTTGAAGATAGACAGTTCAGGGGTTTTGGTATGCCAAAATGGTCTGATCCATTGAATCATCTAGCCTATGCAGATGATACTATCATCTTTGCATCTGCTGATCCTTACTCCCTTCAGAAGATAGTTAATGTTTTGGCTTTGTATGAGAGCACTTACGAGCAGATGATCAATAAGGCAAAGAGCTCTTTCTATATGCACTCAAAGGTTGCTGGAGATCTGGGGAATGCAGTAGCTACCATCACTGGTTTTTCTAAAGGTAGTTTTCCATTTACCTACCTTGGATGTCCAATTTTTTATACAAGAAGAAGGAAGGACAATGACTTGATCCAGAAGGTGAAGGCAAAGTTACACTCATGGAAAGGGAAACTGTTATCTTATGGAGGAAAGGCTACCTTGATTTCAAGTGTTCTACAAAGTATACCAACACACATCCTGTTAGTCTTAGATCCACCTGACAATATGATAGAACATCTCCATAAAACTTTTGCAAGATTTTTCTGGAGCAATAAGGAAGAAGGGAGGAGTAGACATTGGACAAAGTGGCTCAATCTATGTCTTCCTAAGGAGGAGGGGGGAGTAGGTTTCAGATCATTATTTGATGTTTCAAAGGCTCTATTTGCAAAGCTTTGGTGGAGATTTAGAACTTCTAAATCCTTATGGTCCAACTTCATGTGGAACAAGTATTGTAAGAAGGAACTACCTACTGTGGTTCAGTTTGGCGAGGGATCACATGTTTGGAGGAAAATATTGGAGGTACAATCATCTTTCATTCGTTTCATGAGTTGCATCTGAAGGAAAAACATTACTCAATATGGACAAATCTCAAATACCTAACCTTAGAGGTAGGATTGCCAAAAGGAAAGCACCTGACTGATGTACAAACTAACCTGTGCATTGCCAAATCCTTTTCTTGCATTATCCTGGACATTGTTGGATGGCTTCTCAGTGGTATTAGCATGTTATCATGCTCAGTCTGGGGGTGATTCAGCAGTTTTCAGAATAGTTTCTTATAAAGGTATGGCAGGAACATCTGTAGGATATCAAGGTATATCAGTACACTTTACATACATTATTCCTACAATGGAGTCTTCTGCAATTGTGTTGTTTGGTATCTTTTTCTGTATATCTTTGGGATGTTACTCAGTTGTATTAGCATGGTATCATGCTCAATCTGGGGACATGCTAGGGATATATAGACATGTTAACACAATGCAGCTAGGATTGCTGCAGTTTCTAATGCTTATGGACAAAAGAATTGTGTCTTGCATAGCCTTAGTATTGTCCTTACAGTCTGAGGCAATGTGCAGTCCAATGTTGTTGATTTATTTAGAGGCTCAAAACTGGATTTCAATGTGGCTAGGTTACAGGCTCATGACTCTCTATGAGTTTGATCTAGCATTCTGGACATCACACAATAATATGTTGTCACACTATTCATTAGCTCTATTACAGTTGGTATTGTGCTTTCATTTCTCAGTGGTATTAGTGTGCTTACACACTCATTCTGGGGATGGTAGTGCAGTATTCATCATAAGTTTGAGGTGTAAGCAGGTGTCAAGTTCAGTTCAATCATATGGGATCATCATTCATGCTTGCAAGTCATTGTTTGCTTCAGTACTGTGGAATTGCTGCTTGGAATCCTTAATTGCATATACCCTTCATACCCTGGCGCTTGGTGAGAGCTTGATAGGTGCTACTTGGTATCTGAAATGGGCATTAGGATTCACACACATCTACAGGAGAAAGAAGCATTCAGTTGGTCATGTTGTAATAGATAGGTATACTAGTTGGTTAGCCTTCCTAGTAGTTATTATTTTCATGCTTACGTTAATTGGTTTTGGACATCTTGTAAATTTTGGACCCAGTTTTGGGCTGTTTTATTTATATATTAGTCAGTAGGCAGCCTGCCTAGTGGTATATTTGCCAAAAAAAAAAAAGAAAGGGGATCACTCAAGTATTTTCCAACACTCAACTCTTTTACAAGCAACTCTCAATAAAGGGGGAGAGTAAGAAACAAGAAATGAAGACTCAAATCTTGTTAGTGTGTTGAAAATGAACGAATCGTCTTTCCTTTACAAAAAAGCTCTGGCCTCCAAGCTGTGTAAAAAAAAAGATACAACTCTTGCAAATGATATCCACCACACAATTCAATACTTTGGCCCCAAAGAATATTGTCATCAAAGTCTACTTGCAAATATGCTTATGCTTACGTGAGATGGACTTTACTAGCCAAAATTTTGGCCATATTACACATTAAATATTCATTCCTTTTTGCTTCACTTTTAAATTTATTATAACCAGTAGCTTAGAGTTCTTTTACGACGTCTGAAGAGTTCTGCGGCTTTTGGTATGCCAATGTTTCACCCTGTGACTATTGTATCCTTATTGAACACAATCGCAAAACAAACAAGCAGCCTTATATAAAGCAAAAAATTGAACGGGTAAATAGAAAAAAGAGACACAACCTTACTCTTTGAAATTCACTAATGTTTGTAGGGTAGTAAGTTGGTACTGGACCTCCTCATAATATACCTTAGTTTTACAGCAAACTGGATTAATATCAAGAGTTAGTAGGAGCATTGCTTCTGAGAGACTAAGAATAGAGCACTAAGCTCAGCTATACAGGATGATTGCCAAATGAGGGTACATGACAATTGCTATAGCTAAACCAAGTTCAACCTGTAACTAGTGGCTGAGCCACATCGATCCAAGGGTGGTTAATTGAATCCCCTTTACCTAAAATACACGTTACATATATAGGTGAAGATCTTTTTGTGTACACATATCAATTCTTGACTCTATTTAGTTCATGAAAAGCTTCCATTGTAGTGGCTAAAGGAGGTTCATAAATATTTTTAGGTCAGCTGTTACACTTTAGTATTTTTTGAATCCCTTTTGTCTCTAATCCTGCCTTAGCATTGGATTTTTTTGACAAGGAACATCTCTTCATAGGATTTACTATCCTGATGCGCTCTACCTACCCCTAGTTATTACTCCATATGACAGGGCACTCAAATGGTCATTGGTAGAAAAGATTAAAGTCTCCACCTATGCTGTAATCACAGTGGAATATGCCTTGTAATTCCCCCACCAATTCAGTGGAATATTTTTTTTCCCAATTTTTCTTCAATTTTGACAGTCAAAGTTTAGAAATATTTGATGGAGACTAAAATTGCTGACTTTTGACAAACTTAAAGGACCAAAACTGTTCAAGAATATATTTAAAGGATTATTTTAAATCCCCAAAACATAACAACCCATTGTTGTCATTGTTTCGACTATATACAACAAAATATGACCCAAAATGACAAAATTAATTAAAGAGAAAGGCATAAAAAAGAGAGATCATCCTCCTTAAAAATCCATTGTAAGAAAATGTCGAGGAAAAACGGAAAGGAAAAAAAAAAGAAACCATACTTTTTGTTCCATAAAAATTTAAATATAGAAAAAATTAACTCACCCATGGTGGGTGGCTCAGTTACATAAGGACAGTTATATTCAAGGTTCCTCTAATAAAAGGAAAATATTTGGATATCCTGTGAGTGATAGTAGCATATAAGTTTTGAGAAACTTATTTGTTTGACAAAGAGTAAAGAAAACAAACAGTAGCAAAGTAGAGAATTTTTACCTCAAAAACACAGCCGGGAGACAGAAGAAAATATGTGGGATTGAAAGTAAAAGCATATTTGTTCTCACAGTTTGTTGTGTCTAATATCAGCAAAAGCTGCAGAGCACATATTCTTTTATGTTGAAGGAAGCTTCAAACTTACCTTCAGTTTATTCCTGACCAGAATATAGGGATTATGGAATATCAACCTATAAGTGTTGATCATATATCTGAGCTTTGACCAAATCTTAAGCTCAAAATTGAAGTGGATGCAAATTGGTTGAGAATCAAATATCAGTTTGATTGCAAGTTGACCATCAAAACCTTCAGAGATGTGTTACTGCATAGGACTCTCAACTATCAGTGCTTGTGTACTTGGTAATAAATTTGCAAGATTATAAAGAAAATGATGAAAAAGAGAAAAATGTCATAGCGCAAGCTCATGACACGTATTGTCACTATTGACTCAATCAATCTCATGTAGTTATCCCTCAGTTTAAGCCACATCGAACAGAAAATTGCGTGTACCATGTGAACTCGTGCTTAGTATTATATAACACCCCACTTTCCCCTTCCTTTTCGATGTAAAGATTTGCCTGAAGTGTTATATGCATACCTTTAGTATGATTTATGGGTATAGGCAGATGCATCGGGGA